TTGTCGTATTTATAATACCTATTAATATGATTTAAATACTGATTATATTAGTTGAAGACCTCGGACAATTAATCCGATTTGAAATTGTCGGGGGCGATAAAATATAAAAAAAAAAAAAACTGTTTTTATTTTTTTTTCAAATCTATCTGACTGTTACTGGGTTACTGCGTCGACATTTATTTCAGATGAATATTTGAAATTTTAATTTTTCGTAATTTGTATCGTATAAAATGTTTTGGTCGTTGCACCCTATAAACGGAGATTATTTTTAATCGTGACGTTGAAACGTACATTTTTGAGAAAAATTGAGTTGTTCGGTCGTCACACCAAAGTCTTCAATATTGTAGGTAATGCCAGTATTATATTCGAAACTATTTCTTAAATTTAAATACTTTTTAACCGAAGTGATTTAAAATGTATTAGACATTTCCTATATATTTTTTTCAAATAAATACTGTGATATAAACGACTTTTTCTGATGACGGTATACGTGCAGTAAGAGTTTGATCTATCAATGATAATATTTTAAACGATAAAAAACCTGCAATTTAAATAAAGATCAATCGAACTTATACGAACCATAAATATTATTATTAAAATAACAAAAAAAAAAAAAAACCCGTATCATTTTTCTTATATTTATAACGTGTATATATTGTAGGAAATAACGTCGGCCATTTTTTTCGTTGTTCTTTTTAAATTAATAATAAATCATACCGAAAATGATAAATGGAAATTCTAGACGTAATGGAGTCCGTAATACACGACGAGCAACAACAATGGTACATTATATGCAGCTCAATATATAGCAGACGAAAAGAACATTAAACGGTTTGAGGTTAAAAGTATATACGAGTGAGCATTGTATTAAATGTTTGTAAACATCAAAAAGATAATAATATGTCAACTCGTCTCATGCGAAATGGTCTATAATATTATCGCGTCCCGTTACGAGTCAGGCGGAATGGCGTCGTGAAAACTGGATTTACTCGACACGACAGAAAAAAAAAAAAGGAAAAAAGAAAACCACCCGGTGCATAGGTACAAGAAAACTGTCGACGCGCAAAACTAAATTGAAATTATACTTACCGATACGACATGTGCGAGTCGAAATATTTGACGTGGTGAGGGGCGAAAAAAAAATACCTCGTTGTTGAAATCACGACAAAAATAATCACGTCAGCAAGATATGATGTACTTTCAAAAAGATCATAGATATAATAAAACATTTCCCGAGTATAATCTATATTTAGCATTGAAAATAATTAAAAAAAAAAAAAAAAACCATATTTATATAATATGCTAAAAGTATTCGCCCATTTTAAATCATGCGTAGTGAAATTAAATACCTATCCACTTACGTTTGACTTTCAGTGTTGTTGGATTTGATTTAACGAGGGAGAACGATGAAAATAATATTACGTTCTGGTATATTGCGGGGAGCGTATTTACAGATCATATTCCAGCTGGGCCTGGGTCGGTAACCGGGTTGGTTTTAGGAGGTTTTCGGAGAGTTTTACAAGACGCAATCTATACTTGTTGACGCGAACCTGATACCGCTCCATTTAGAAGATAGTGCCCGAAGCGTAAACCTAAAACCTATACTACACCTATAGCCGACGAAATGCCCCCCTCCCCATAGCTGTTTAGATAAAACTGAAGGAAAAACGTATCGTGTATGTTGGTCCAAATCTTAAAATGCACCGAGGAAGTCAGTGTCGCAATATTGAAAATCTAAAACCTAGGTCCTGGTCGACGAGAACCCACGACGGGTTCCGGTATTTACATACCGTTTGGACCGAACTCGGTTAGGGTATGTAAATGCACATACGGGGAATCGATTTTAAAAAATACTTATCATATTATTATTATCAACGACCGTAGTATATTTTATTATATTATATTTTGCGTGCGTACGAATAAATTGGCAGTGATACGCGTTGAGAAAAACGTTTGTCTTCAAAGAAAAAAAAAAATCGAAAATATGTGATGATGATGATGATGATGATGATGATGATGGTGCTGACGACGACAACGACGACGAGGAGGAACGATTATCGCGATAGAAAACCTTTTTTTTTTTTTATTATTTATATTATTATTATTATTTATTTTTTTTTAGCAAAAGGCAGACGGTGGCGGGTCAATCGTTTCGGCAGTGCTTCGCCGGAAGACCGAGTTCGACATTGACGAATTGGGCGCCGCCGAATCCTTATACATCAGCCCACATCGTAGCCGTGTTTTTATTTTATTTTATTTTTTTGTCGATCTCTCGTAATTTTAATCAAAAACCAAAATCCCGCGTTGTCGGTCCAATACCTACCCGATATTATAATAAATAATAATAAAAAAAAAAAAAAATCGAATAGTCCGAGTATACGGTGAGGAAGGAGACTTGTGTATATAATTATAATCCGCAACTTCCCTGTAGAATATTAATGAAAAACATAAAAACAACGCACGTATTATATACACTGAGTTTCTTGCTCAAACATCACGAAATATTTCAGTCAGCCAGATTTTTAAATAGAGTGTTTCCTTTACAAGAAGATCGGCGGTTCCAATAATTCACATTTAGAGAGTAGGTATTTCCAAAATTCGAATCTCCGCGTCATGGTCAAAAATTACCCGAGATGCACAGCAGATCAAAGTCCCGCAGTGTAAAAATAGAATACGAATTTTTCTCAATTTTATAACAAAACTAAAATCTATGTGCACGTGTGTAATTTTATGGTTATCATTATTACATTCAATTTTTACACCAATATAAGTATAAAATAATATTTATTCTCTTCTTGAAGTCACGCGTTTTAAATTTCTCCTCGAAGAATCAAGAAAAAAAATCACTTTTTCAATAAGCATTTTAAGTGATTTTTAAGATATATTCAAACGTGTGTTTTGCAATCCCCAATATTCCTAAAAAACAAAACAAAATAAATCGGTTACAATTTAAGTCTAATCTGCTGTTACTATACGAGTGAAACTGCACGATGCATAATATGTTTTGATGTTATTTGCATCGTGGGAGGTACACATCGGAATTGTTTTTTTTTTTTTAGAAATTTGTCTTAATGTTTAAATTTGTTTTTAAAAATTCTAAAGACTAAAGTTTGATTTGGTGACGAATTTTCGTTGTGACGTATTTTTTCCTATACAGAAATGTCCCGTTCGAAATCGTGTATGGGTATAGGTATGATAAAAAAATTGATCAGTTTTAAACAGGACGTGTTTATTGGGCCGAACATTTTGGGCGTCAGGTGGCAAGTAGGAACAAGTTCCCCTGGCTTTCCCGTATTTACGTGTATGACCTGTTGAGAGTTTAATAAAAATTCAATATCGTTGAAAAATAATACATTGCCTGACCATTCGGATTTTTGATGATTGACGCCCTTTTAACTGTGATATATTATATTTGTTCGTGCAGTTTGGACCAGTGACCTTGAGTGCCGGTGAACCGAACACGTATTCAGGATCAATTCGGGGGGGGGAGAGGTTAAAATATTTTTAATATATGTAGTTTGTAAACAAAGGTCATATTAGAAATAAATATCTTACACTCTAAAAATGTCGGGGGGGCGGGGTTGAACCCCACCCCTCATCTCTTTTATACAGGCTTGCGGTGAACAATATTAAATTTCTAAAATAATTGTTTATTAAAACACGGAGCTAAATTATTTCAACAGTTTAAACAGATGCATTGTTGTCGTTGAATTGGCCCGTACCAATATTATAGAGCAAAATTATTTCAACTGAAAAAAGGAACGCGCTGGCGTCGAGGCGCTCGGTATCCTGGTCAACTGACCTCCATTGCCGTCTGGGCCTGGCTCCCTCAAATCTAGCCGTCTCCATGTCCCACTGTCCAGTGTAGTCGGTGAACGTCTCGTTTATTATTCCGGCGGTCGACCAAGACACGGTTTCTACATGACCCATCAATATGCTGTCGCGTGGGAACGGCTTTTGGACGTACGGTCGTCCTCACCACGACGGCCCTTACGTCTTTCAACTCGTATTTAACGACCGACTTGTCCGGTTCGCCTCAAAATTATTACGACGTTACACCCGTTGATTAATTTCTATTTTATTAGCGAAGGACAGAGTGCGTAACGCATTGGTCACCCCGCCCATATGGGAATGGCATGGCTTGGTTTAACTATAGCCGTACCTGAACCTTTTTTTTTTTCTGTGTATGCGTGGCCAACGACAAATATACGTATTGCGCAACGCTCATTACATTCAGAGTATTTTTTAACGATAAATATCATCCGATTAAATTCAATTACATGACGTGTGCGTTATTGGTACTTTGTGGTGCGCATTGGCCCGACTAAGGTGTAATACTGCGATTTAGGGGGCGGCTAACATGACTGCGTATCTGTTCAAATCGACCGTCTTAAAAATGTAAATCTTACGTAATTGAAATACAAAAATAAAAAAAACAAACAAACTCACAGCGCGCCAATCGCGCCTAATAATCTATGGCCAAGTGGCCGGTCGGATTATCCGATTTATCACGATTTGCCCGGTTCAGAAGCCCGCGGGCGTCTACGAGTCCCTATCTCAAGGCCATTCGGTTTCGCGCGTGTTTCTGCGCGCGTTCAGGCTTTTCGGCACAGATTATTGGTTTGTGTTACAACGGGTGTACGGTACCGGAAGAAAACCGTTTGTCACTTTCGTCACATTTTGACCGTCTCCCGTAGCAGATGATTACGATATTTACGGCAGCCGGCGCAGGTAACCGCGGCACGCATTTGCATTCCGTAATCCCGTTCCGTTAGATTACTTTCCGGGATTTCACACGCGCAGCGTCTCCCGGATATCTATCGGTTGGCGCCATCGAACGCGATTTGGCGCACCGGGTGGCGGGCGGTCCGGCAGTCAGTCCGTCAGCGAGCCATTCAGTCAGTCATCGGCCGACCGTGTTGTTGCGATGACGATACGCCAGCGGAGCGCGCTCCGCGCCGCACAGTAGTAGCGAACGCCACGCGCGCCACACAGTCGCCATGTTGTCGCCGGCCACCGTACGCCTGTTGGTGTTCGTCTTCTTTTACGTGCTGTTCTTGGCCATCGGGGCGTACGTGTTCTCGGCCATCGAGGCGCCCGCCGAAGCGGCCCGGGTCCGGGAACTCAAGGTGCTCAGGCAAGGATTTCTCAACGAGCACAAGTGTGTCAAAGGTATAACAAAATATATCCTATCTGCACGTGCACGCAATATTAGTGGTTTTTTTTTTTTTTATGTTTTTTTTTTTTTTTTTTTTTTTTTTTTTTTTGTTTTTTTTCCCGAACAATTTTGACTATCGCGTAAATCGGCCTCTGAGATGAACGTGCGGCGGCATATTTTTACGCACGGTAATTACCACAACGCGTTTAGCGAATTCGCCGGTTCGCAGCTAACACGCCGCGAAAAAACACTGTCCGAACGAACGGATTTTCGGACTTTCGAGAAAACAAAACGGAGGGGGGGAAACCGACGTCGCTCATGTACCCACTAGCAGCCCCGCACCTGTATTATTGCGCTGTACCCACCACCGTATGCCACTAGCCGAGGCGTTGATACATACCGATAAACAACAAATAAATATTGTGCGATTCGGGCCGTAAACGAACGAAAATGAAAAAAAAAAAAAAAAAAAAAAAAAAAACATACAAAAATACGAATAATTCCAGGACCCCCTTGACGCGACTACCCCTGAACGCGTCGGCCAGAGCCGTCGTAACGCGTAAACGACGCACCGTCACCGTACAACGCGCCGCATCCTCACGCCGTGTACGGTACCGGTGTACGTATTCATATATGTGGTTCGTATAACATTTTAAACGTTCACGAACGATTTGTGTACGGCGCGTCGTACTTACCCGCGGCGGGCATACGCGCAATAATAGTGGATGTACGGCGTTACTTATCGCGCGTACTTACCGACCGTTGGGTGTGACGATAAGCGGTGGGACGGAAACGATTAAGACATTATCGGAACGAAGATCAACAGGTACCGACCGTATCCCGCAGCGGGTATAATTATTGTCGTGTCGCACAGCCTAACCGTTACGATCCACTCGCGTTGACGTCTGGCCCTGCCGGGTTTTCCGCGCTTTTTTTCGCCGAACGCCTAGACGTAGGCGCGATGCCGGATTTACGTTCGGTGAAGTGGGAGGGCGGGGGAGGGGTGAGGGTCCAGGGCGATACACGCCAGATATACACTCAGGTGTCTGTTTTTACCCGCGCAATAATTATCGTATGCTCGAAGGAGGTTACGTTTTAAAATCATATTGTACGCGCACACGATCGGGCGCATATCACAAGCAGTCCGGGGGTTCGAACCCATCACCGAAACAGTTCAAAAAACACGTTCATGTTTTTTTATGGATACTCGTGAATTTCCCTGACCCACCCCCTTCGCGATTTTTTTTTTTTTCTATTTTGTTTCCGCGCCCGAATTCGACGATATCGACGACAGCACATTTGCGTTACAAAACGCGTTTAATAATAATTCGTTTGAAAATCACATTGAACGCAAACATCGTTTAAGTTATGATAATCGTATAGTTGTATAACTCACGTTATTCGACGATTCTTTTTTTTCGTTTTTGTACGCGCATTGATTGTTGTATACATTATATAAACGCCAATCGACTTTTGAAAACGGTACGAAACAATTAATATAAACAATAACGTATAATAATTATAAAATCAATGAAATAACAATATTGTCATAACACAACAAAATCATTAAAGCCAATAATATCAACGTTGTACAAATTATGTCAACGTATTTATTCAAATACACTTTCAAAGAAGACTTCTACGTTTAGTTCTCGCCGATAAGGGTTGAACGTTTTAAACGTTGACGAAAACTTCTGATTTCTGCAGTGTTTCAAAAATATATTTGCCCTCGGATTCTTAGCGGAATCAGAATACAAATGTATTTTAGTTGCACGATGATAATTATCGCTTTTTTACCAGTTGTTATACCAAGTCAAATATGGTCGATACTGTAAGGGAAACAACTTTGTACAATGATAACAGAAAAATTCACGAAAGCCCCGAATAAATCTAAACAAACTTCAAAATGTATAGTAAATTATAATATTCTGGACACTGAATACACTCATTGATCACCGGAACGTATTGATTTATCGCTGTTATATTAAAGCGTTTATTAAACGATCAATTCTGAACTTCATCATTTAAAAAAGGAATTTATTTGTTTTATCGTGATCTTTTTTTTTCCAAATGGTTTTCTGTTTATTAACGGTTTTGTACCGAATAACGAAAGAGTTTTTATATTATAGAATTTTGAATTTTATTGATCATTTTATGATTTTTTAAGTAGTTTTTATAATAGACGCGAAAAACCGGCCAAAACGGACAAACCTACGACGACAAAAGTTTCATTATGTTCGATTTTGCATTTCTGAAATCTTATTTAGAAATTCAATTACAGCATCTTTTTGGAAGGAAATTGTATTTCATTGATGCATTCCGTGGTCATTTTTTCGATTTTGTAGTTTTATTAATAATTTGGAATCTGTGGAAAATGGGAAAGCTTATGGAAACAACGGTTTCATTATTTTCGATTTTGTTTTATTTCATTTAAAATGAATCATACAGATCTGCATTTTTTACAGAATATTTATTTTAACCATTTCTAAACACGGTTAACCATTTTGGCGATTTTAGAGCTATTTGTAGGCATTTCACATCTCCGAATATTTTTTTAGTTTTTAAGTGATAGATAAAATGGTTTGGCCGATTAGAAATGCTTGAAAATTGTACATGAGGTTCACCGTTGGTGTACTTAGTGGCAAAAAAAAATTGTTTTTCCCACAACAGTGGCACATCCGTCAGAAGTGTCAATTCTTATTCTCAGTATACACTTACATGGAATTATTTTATTCAAACATTTACCTTCTATACATATAAATACATAATATATTTATTACTTAAACGTGTTTAAATTGTAAACTACAGTTTTGGGAGGCTGTAACATCTTGGTATTTTACTGCGCCGTATACATTTTACAACCCTATAGTCACCTTAAATTTTAAACGTGTATAAATAATAGAATATTTTTGTTCAGTATCCGAACTCTCAGACAAACTGTACGTTTCATCACAATACGCGTAATATTGTGAAATCAAACATAATAGAGGTTATGTTTTTGACATAATCGGCATTCGGTTGAAAATCGTGAGGGTGCAAAAATATAGGTATTGTGCAGATCCGCAGAATCGTGAGGTGCTTACCACTCGCGTTCTCCTTGAAATATCAGACCAATACTATATTTTACTATCTTCTTCTCTTTCGCTTTCATCCCAACTATTTGGAATCGGCCATAATACTGTATACGCTATAAATACTAAACAATATATTATTGTTATCACAAATCACACACTTGGTATTATTTGAATAATAAAATTCAAACTTAAAATTTTGCATTATTATCAAATTTGATTATATTCCGTATTGTGTACCGCCGACAGTTACAGAGTAATATTATTTTGCCCTGGGATCAAAATTAAAGAAAAAGAAGAATAAGAAAAAAGCAATCTAATACTACTATATTGTTAAATTAATTTAAAATTATTTTGTCTGTTATTCGCAACAGAATTATGTACACAATTTTGTCTCAATTTGTCTCAGACAATTGTGCACACGGTGCAATTGAATCCTCTTCCTCTTCTCAAAGTGATACACTCTATTTGTTACCAGAAGAAGGGTCTTTATGGTAGAGCAATATTTTAAAAAACTTGCCACCTATGGGTACCCGCCAATTATTATTTTTTAACTTTTTATATATGGCATAACTAAATTGAAAGTTCGGTATTAATATCAGCTAAACAGGTATAGTCTATATGTGTTTTAATTAAAAATATTACTCTTCTTTATATTTAAAAAAACAGATCGAATGCCATTTTGTATAAAAAAAAAAAAAGTGTAACAATTATTAACACGTAAAATTGCAGGGTCTTCTTGTACTGTGAGCTCAGCGAATGCGCTAATGACAATGAGAATAATATTAGAAACGCGTCTATTTTATTCTGTTTGTGGCAATAAACAATAACATACGACGTGCTGTATATTATAATAAAATTGTATACTCTCATTATTATTGTTGATATCTATTTAATGAAAGGAAGTATTCAATTTATACCTATTAATATTAGAATTTGTTCCGAAGACCATTTCACAAGAGTTAACAATATAAAAATGTATATTTAAAAACAAAAAACAATCATACTTTGTTTAAAAACCAAATAAATGCTTTTATTTAAGTTGGTAAAAACAACTGTACGTGTAAAATAACGGTATCCGTGTCACAAAATGGACGAAAATTTGCGTCCAAGAACCTAAGAACTGTTTATACGATCTGATTGAAGTTTCTGCGAAACGGATATTCCTTTGCTTGAAAACTTCGACTACGCTACGTGGATACGAAATGGTATATAATATTGTGTTACGGGCAAAATAGGAAATCCGAGCATTGTAATACAATGTCCGTATAAGACTTTGGGCAATGTCAATAATACTCCGATATTTCCCTACGGCCGGGTAAAGTGTACCCGTGCCCGGATTCGAGGGGGCAAAGCGAATTAAACACTGCAGAGCGTACTTATATCGAATTGCATTCGATTTGTAACCATATACTTCTAAATACCGACATATTTAAATCAATTCGTTTGACACATGCTCGACGTACGAGAACAGTGGCGGCGCGAGATTGGTCGCACCGTCATATCATAATGTACACTGTTTCTACAGCTCTCTTGTTTTTTTTCCCCGTCGTCTCCACACTACTCTCCGGTCCCGATTCTATGTAAACATATATGTTACGGTTCACTGTTGGATAATATTGGGTAACGTCACATTTTCGTTCAGCAGATCCTATTTTGTGGTGCTAATAATTCAATAGTAGAGTGAATCGGCCCACCGTTAAAATTGAATGTAAGAATATAATTTGCGTATGTACAGTATAGTTTCTTGGGATATTTAAATTTTTAAGCGTGGTACGAACGTCTCTGAATTTTAGTGGGCATAACGCGTGCTCGTGTGTCGTTTAGAAATTGAATAAAAAAAAAAAACCCCGACGTACACTGAAAATATGTCTATTTTTAGGTTTGATAATAGGCCGATAGGAAAATTAACGGCACGATAACGGATCTACCGAACGAAAATGAGACGTTAACCGATTTTCTGTTGTTAGTACATTCGAAGGAAAGAAATAAAAAGCTGACACTAGAGACAGATGGATCCACTGTTGTAGGTGGGTGTTTGGGAAGTGTGGATACATAAAATCAATAAATGATACATGTAACCAAAGATAAACCATTGCTAACGAAAAACGATTAGGAACGAAGTTCGATTATAATGTTTTGAAAGGCCGTAATATTCACGATTTTCGTCAAAATTTGATCATAACTCTTGTGAATTATTTTCGTAAATGTTTCCGTTTTTTCTACGTATTTTTCGGATTTGCTCAATTTTTTTAAAAAAAAATCTACAAATAAAATCAAAAACCGAATTTCTTTGTCAGTGGCTGTAATAATGGTTAACTTATAATGTATTAATAGGAACAAAATCAATATCTTGTCATTTTTCGATTGGAGCAATATTTCTGGCGGAAAACACGGGTCGCAATAATAAAAACAATGAAATCGATAACGCCGCGGCGCGCCGCAAATATTTGCCGTTTTACCAATAATTTTCTTTCGGGGTCTTCCCCAATTATTTCGATAACCCCTCGGAAAATCAAAAACCGACATTTCTAACGCCACCAACTAGACGAAATTCGCTTTCAGTAAAAGCATTTGGTACGTATACATCGGAGCAAGATTTCTTTTCGAAAAGTCGTTAGCGGATAGAAAAAAAAAAATAATAATAATAATAACAAACAGAAGCACATGTCGTGGTAAAACATGATAGATTCCTCGTCGCCACGCTCCGAATTTAAAAATTCCAAGAGGAAAAAAAATTATCCGTGTATTTATATTATAATATTAGAACATTATTATATCCGGCGTTGTCGCCGCCGCCGTCGTCGTCGTTTATAATGCAATATAATGTCGTGAATACGGTGGAGGGGTGGGGGTTTGTGGGGGGGGGGAGAGTTCGCCATCACGTTTCCCGATCGTCGCCGTCTGGCGGTACGTGACGGACTACCCTGCGTGAGTATACGCGCGCATAGGAATTCACAATCAGCGGCCGTCAGCAACAGTTTGGGGACGGTACCGCGGCGGGCGAGCCCGGGTCTCTGACGCCGGCATCACGGTGACATTATAATATTATATCGGAAGGTTTGTTGGTTTTCGCGCGAAACGCCACTATCCGCGCGGTCCTCGAAACGCGCTATCCGGGCACGGCGGTCTTTTCTTTTTTTCTTTTCTTTATACATGTTCTTTAACGAATTTCGCGTGTACCTCCTAGTAGTAGTACACGTATAACATTGCTGTACGATAAAAAAAATAATCAATTTGGATACATACATAATAATGTTATCGCGTTTTCTAAGGAACTCCGAACGGGGGAGCAGTATAGCCGGTAATATTTATTATTGAAAAAAAAAAAAAAAAATGAAGAAAGAAGTCTCTTCTTATATGATTTATTTTTATAAAAAACTGCAGCGGATGTAATTCTAAAATCTTAAAATATATAGCCGGTACGTTTTTACCGCGGTTCACTCGCGTTATTATTCTCTCTCCAAAGAAATCCAAACGACACGGGCACCTATAATAGTAATAATACAGGCACTCGCAGTAAATGCAAATGTATTTGTACGTGACATTTTCTCTAGTTGAACAAAAATAATCGTCTACGATAATATTATGATCAAATTATGCAAATTCTATAATATTTGTGTACAGGCCGGCGTTTCACTCAAATGGTAACGCGAGGTATTATTATTGTTTCACGGACTTAAATAAAAATTAGGTTTTTTTTTTTTTTAGGGAAGGTAGGGGCGGTTTACCAAAATATTAAATACGCGATATTTGGAACTAGTTTTCAAAAAGCGCCTACAACTTGTAATATCTCCTTGAGCGAAAACACCCGTTTTCAGCATTGGGAATAGTTCGAATAGTCCTGGTTTTTCTCGTTTTTATTTTCTTTCACTATTATACTTTTAACTATTACTAGGATATAATACTTAAAACTCGTATATTACACGCGCAATAATTGTATGATCATCTCGATTTGTAATTTTTTTTCACCATAAAAACAGTGTACCCAATGTTATGTCTTCGATTTTCTGGATGCACGGACGGACAACGGTAATCGTATTATTTACAGTCGCATTATAGGAAAAAAATAACAATAATAAAGGAATGTCAGGACGATTCGAATCTGAAAACGCTGAAAACGGGAATTTTTATTTAAAAAAAAATAAATAAATAATAGCGCACCGCGTGGGTTGAAATTAGTGCTCCTTATTTCACGTGTTCACGTATTCACGTGAAATTAAGGTACGATTTGTAAGAACCGTTACTTAAAAGTTTCCGTGAATTCATTGTAATATTATTCTCGTATTTACGCCCAACTTACTTAGTTTCTATATTTTTATGCGTAGGAGAAAGACGATTTTACTCGTATCATAAATACAGGTAAATAGTAAATAATATACATTTTCATACCAATTCAAAATTATTCAATTTATTCACGTGATTAACCAACACATGTAATCACACGACTCCGATACGCGTTCACGCGTTTCAGCGTTTATTAATTCACGTATAACAATCGTGCGTGTTTTATTTTGTTGCATTCACGTGTTCGCGATACCCGTGTACACCGTGTACGCATGTTTGTATTCGCTTAAAAAAAAAAAAAAAAAAAAAAATCGAAATCGCCCAGTTGAAACGCTGAAAACGGACTGAAAACGCGTGTCACGGTGCCCATACCCGTTCCCGGTCCGAGGAGAATCCATCAGGCCGAGACGTTTCGCGTTACCGTTCGGGCGAAACACACTGCCGCAGCGTCTGGCGTACCTATACGCAACGTGCGTGTGTAGTGCAGTTTTGCACGTTGTGTAGACGTCGTTTTCGCTAAACGTCTAGTAGGTTATTTCGCTTTGTTAACTGTAATTAACATAATTCGAATCACTATATCGCGGGCGGGCGCGCGCCGGTACGGGCGGGTGCCGGGGGTGATGGCGGGACGGGTGATTAATGTTTAAAATATTCTCAAGACACGCGCGTCGTATAATAAATTACGATAAACTGAAAAAAAAAAAAAAAAAATAAGGTCTTCGCGTCGGAACATGTAAAGTAATTAACTGTACGGCTTAATATTTTCCGCCGATATGTCGTACGGTAAAATGGTATCGCGCGCGATACTCGCACGCCTTGTACGCACGTAACGTTTACTGTACAATACGCACGGGCGGGCAAATTGCCTACCATTTCGGAAATTACCAGATGTATCGGTGCTCACCATATATGTCTGTTACTCGTATATTTATACGCCATCGAGGTTATTGGGGAAGAGGAGGGGATTTGTAAAGGCGAAAACAATAACGAATTCTAACCGTCACGACTGCGTTTTAAAATGCCTACGCGCGTGGCATTTATGCGCCGGCGGAACGGTCTAAACGAGATAACATTCTTGTTTGCAGTGTATGCCTAGGTACGCGTGTATTAGGTATCGCCACAACTTAATAGCAAAACAACCGTGTACCAGTACGACAATGTATTTTATTTCCGGGCAAATTGTTTTTATTCATTACCGTACATTATTATTA